TGTCTTTCGTGGCCTCTCACTCTGCTCCCTCTTAGTCCTTCTTTTTTTAACATAGCTTTATACAGAGTTTGGCCTTGATGCTTCTCTATTGTTTATTTTTATGTAAAATTATATTTTCCTGACTTTTGGGAATGAGGTTACATTCAGAAAGGATTTTTTCAACCTTCACAGAGCCACCTCTCCTGCTCTTTTTGTGTGGCATTTAAAAATAAGGCAGCTTGCTTTCTGGGACTTCCTGTCTTTGTTCTGATCCTTTGTTGAACCTGGTCCATCTCTCTTTTCCTCGTCTTCAAATTCTAGTAGTATCTTACATGTTCCTATATTGACTATAAAGACTCCATAAATAATACAGTATCTTCCCTTCCCTCTCATTCCTCTCTCTCCCCCACCCCCGCTATCTACCCCTGCCCTCTCTCTCGTCTCTGTCCAGCCCATTTTTTATTTTAGTCCCAGGAGTTTTCCCTAGAGTGGGACCCTGTCCTAGAAGACAGCAGGTCGGTCTCATGAGCTTAGAAGGGCTGCCCTGCTCCAGCCCTTTCAGGCGTCCTTACCGTAGGCCCCTGCACGCACTCACCTGCTGTGGGAGAGGACAGAACTCTCCTAGCTCGGCTGACACTTCCACGTCGGCTGCTCAGCTCTCCAGCGATCGCCCGTTGCCTCCTTTGGGTCCTCCTGTTCTCAGGTCCGTCATCTGCTACCCCTGTTCCATTTTTTTCCTTTTCTTTTAACATAAACGCTGTTCTTGTGGAGGCTTTTCGTTTTCCCTATTTGCTTGATTTTAGGGTTTGTGGGGTTACCTTGTCACCTAGTTTTATCATCAGTATTGTTTGGTTTTGGGGTTTTGCTATTTAGTTGCTGTTTTAGGTAGGAGATTGAAAAACTATATTGCTACCGCCAATAACCTGCCACTTTTGTGTTGAGTTTTGTTGTTTAATGATTTTTGTCTTCAAGTTTGGAGAGTGTCTTACATGTTCCTATATTGACTATGAAGACCCCCATGAGTAGTAACACAACCCCCTTAGTTCGGGAACTTTATGGAGGGTGACTTTCTCCGGGAAACTTCAGTGGTCCCCCGTAAGTAGAACGTCTGCCTTCTTTGTGCTTCCTTGCTGGGTCTGTGTGTGTGTCCTACCCCCCAGAGAACCATGAGCTCCCGGAAGCAAGAACCATACACAACTCACCTGTGTATCCCCAGCCCTTAGCACAATGTTCAGTACAGAAGAGGGACCCAATACCCCCTGGAAGAAGGAATTTCAGCCAAATAATGCCTGCAGCTGTATTACAGAACCAAAAATAGCATTCTTAAAAATAATTTATGCTCATTGTAGAAAACTCAGAAAATACAAACAATATATAGAAAATGTTTACCTATAACCTCACCCCTAGAGAGAACCACTATTACCCTGTTGGTGTATTTCATTTTGTCCCATGCACTTTTAAACCATTTAATTTGAAATATGCTGTATGCCATTTTTAAACCTGTTTTCCACTTATGTTTCTGCATTTCCCCATGTGTTAGTCTTCGAAGAATTGTTTAATAACTATGTAATATTCCAGTGTATAAGAGCCATCTTAGCACAAAATTAAAAGCATTTCTAAAGCAGTAAGGATTACTTTATGCAGACTGCCTGCTGATGTCTTGCCATCACATGCGCTATAACAACAGGAAATAAAGTGGGAGGCAACTCCAGTTTTAGAACACATTCAGAGTGGCGGTAACCTTAAGGGTAAGGAAGTCATGAATTCAACCCAATTCATTGCCAGATGCTGCTATTCCCCGAAGTTCCACTAGGTGGCAGAATGGGTTAGAGAATAGCAGTGGTCCTCTGCCTTAGAGGGCGTCACAATCACCTGCCACACCCCAGCTTGAATTTGTGTTAGGTCTGGGGTGGGGCCCACTAATTTGCATTCCCACCAGGTTCCCAAGGCAAACCACACTTTGAGAATTAACGAAGACTAATCAACAGCCCATTATTCTGAGTTTACTTTGGACCAGTTCTAGATGATACCAGTATAGAGAGTAAGATACAATTCCTGTTCTCAAGACTCAGTTTTTGAAAGGGAGAAAAAGAGAAATGAAGCAAATAACACTTATTTTTGGTAGTTTTGTCAGCATAGGCTGACACACAGCCTTCTTCCATGTTTTTGTTTGTTTTACTAATTCCCTCTCATTTAGAGGTCAAGCTTTGTGCCCTTAAAGCTTGAATGATCGACCTGCTCCAGACTGGCTTTACATGGCTAAATCTGCTGAACGAACACACTCGGGAATGTTTGCTCTCCTGTGAAACTCCCGCAGATGGAAAATCTCCTCTCTGACCTCACAGAGGCCTGACACATAAGCACCTGACACCCTCTCCCTGACTCCGCATTAATGAGTAAAAATAAACCACCAGGATGATTCTGTTCTTGCAGTTTCATTTGGATGCCTTCTAGATGAATCCCTCATTTTAAATTTCAGCACAGTTAATTTTGGAAAAAGAAACCTTTTAATTTATGATTGCTCATATTTTCCTTGAACTATTATTGATCACCTGTGGTACATCTTCATTAGGAATTTAAAGATACGGTTCTATATATGACCAATCCTGTCAGCAAGCTGTATCTTCCTAGGACTCTTTCAACAGGCAGTGCATAATCTGTGACATATCACAATAATTACTGGAACATAAATAAGGATTGTTGATAGGTTTGCTTGACACCAATCCTTTTTATGTAATGAAAGAAAATTTCAATGCATGCTTTGTGTTGAATTCTTATTTCTAAAATAGTGATGCCTAGATTAGTGAAATTGTATTTGTGACTCTATCTCAAACAATGTTTCCCAAATTATTTGAAAATGTAATAAAAATAAATGGGTAAAAGGTAAAGACAGAATTCAAAAGACATACAAATGAGCACACATACAAATATGCCTTCACATGTTCAAGACATGTCAATTAAAGCAATCTTGAGATACTTTCCTTAAACCTACTAAATTGGCAAACATGTTTACAATAACCACTCAAAATTGATGATGTGTTGAAATATACACACGCCAATCAGCAAAATGACAACATATATCCCTTTACTCCATTTGGAAAATTACATGATATATGTGAAGCAAAAGCCACAGGTATTTCTTCTTGAACAAAGAGATGCTTAGAAAGCCAGAAATGCTCTTTCTTGACTTGGGCCATGGTTAGAGGGTTGTTAACTCTTAACTATTCAGTAAACTGTGCCTGTGTGTTTTATGTGCTCTTCTGTGTCTGTAACAAAAAAAAAAAAAAAAAAAAAATTAAGAAAAACATATCCTTTGCTTTTACCAGTAAGTCATCTCCTGGGAATACGTTCTAAGGCAATATAAGCAAAGAACTTCTCTGTAGGATTATCTAGAAAGCAAAACTGGAAATTCCCTAATTATCCACCAAAATAGGAATGGTTTAGCAAATTACAGGTAATCACATTACAAAGTACTATGGTAATTGCAAAGACTTAAAGCACATTGCTGACAGCAGAATACAAAACAAGGACTTGCTATCACATAGATCTATACACATGTGCTGAAGGATTAGAAGGGAATATTATAAGTCATGATGATACAGGAACTCTGGGTAATTTTCTCCATAAATTGGTGTTGTTATTTTACCACACAGAGAACAGAACTTGTGGTTAAAATGGAGACAAAGCACAGGGACCTTCCACTGGCAAGGACTACATGTCTAATCACAAAATGATCATCAAATGTTCTGGCCCGAAGTGCTCAGAACACTGTAGATGCTTACAGGATATGGCAGAACAGGGAAGTTGGAGAGGAAGATCTGTGTGTAATTGGTCTTTCATTTTGCTTCAATGTTGATATTCTCAAAGATATTTTTCCTCCGTAACACATAGCCCCTGAGATAATCTATGACATTTATTAGAGTAACTTATCAAGAATTTACTGAGCATCATGAAAGAACTCAATCTTACAATGTTGCTGGGGAGATGAGGTATTCACCCAAATTTTGAAAAACTTATCCCTGGTGAACGTTCATGGTTTGCCAATTGCAAAAGGTACTTCATGATGAACTGCCAAATTGCAAAACTACCCTAGACAAAAACGTTGAGTTGGGTGGAGTGGGGGATGGTAGCCAGCAGAGGCTTTGATGATAGTGGGAGGCCAGTGGGGTCCTAGAGGCTGGCCCAAGCCAGGTGGAGAGGCACGGGGGCGGTAGGGGCAGGGCTTTCCCAGGAGGATGAAGAGCCAAAATGCAATGGCAGGAAAAGAAAGTGCAAGAACTGTCGGAAGAGAGGAGCTGGGGCTGTTATGGTAAGATCATAAATCTAGACACCTGCTGAGAGCAGGGAGTCATTAGGTGGTTTGAACCGAGGATGCGTGCATGCCAAGCGGAGGCTGGGGAGACCCCTGGAGGCAGGGCGAAAGCCGGTTCAGCAGGTGCTCACAAGTGGTGAGGGAGGAACGTAGCTGTTCGGGGTTTGGACTGAGGAGACTTGTAACAGGGAGAGATGGGGAGGGAAACAATGCAGGAAAAATGCAGGCTTGTGAAGGCTAAAATCGCAGCCCCAATCTCCACCTCACCATTTATGGCTCCACTAAGTAATGAGCCACATTTCTACGCCTCAGCTTTCTCATCTGCAAGTGGAATGAAAATCTGCCCTATTACGGTGCTTTTGGGAATCAAACGTACAGGACCATGTCTGATGACAAAGGGCCCTACACATTTAAATTAAGATGAAAGAATGAGCCAACTTGGGCACGCACGTGCGGAGTAGAGGAGGGAAAATGAGAGGAAGATGATTGCAAGGCCTCCACCTGACCTGCATAACGGTGCTTCCCCCCCCACCCCACCCCTGCCCCATTTGCATCCACAGGTCAGATTCCTTCTTTGCATTTTACTTTTAAATGTATTGTTTTCCATCTTGGATCTCATTCACAATCGTTATTGTTGGGCTTACGTTTTAGTGCATGCAGAAACAGTAAAGCAAGAGCCAGTTCCCATCACATGAGGGACAGTTCCATTTCTAAAAACAAATCTAAAACACACACACTTTTGAAAAGTCCCCTCTGAATTGGTGGTGGGGGGTGGGGAAGCAAGAAAATAGTCTTAACTACAGAATGTATTTTTAAGGAAATGCAGCTTTATTACTTTCAAGTACAAACAATAACTTGGGCTTGGCTAACCATATGTTGCCTAATTGAGGAACCTGTTTTAATGTATAGATATAAATGATTTCTAGTTAGCACGATCACTCATGGGTAAAAGGAAGTTCTATGATGCATGAGAAGAATGGCTTGTCTTACAGAGACACCTTGTACCACAATCACTCCACTATTTGTTTAAACAATCCCTACTTCCCCCCTGCCCTACAGACAGTTCAAATATAAACTTCACCTCGTTCCCCCTAGATCACAACATACATCAAATTAGTGAAACGTGAGTTAATGAATTTGACCACGTTGCTATAGATGTTGGAGAGCCTTAGTGAAATACGTCTGTTCACAATTTGAGTAAAGGGACTCCAAAAAACTGTTGAGTTTGTATCATCTGAATGAATAATTTACCTGGTTTAAATATGCAAACACACCTTTTTATCTGAGCACATTCCTGGTGGGCAGAAGCAGCTGATTCTTTAAGCTACAATGATTAAGTAGGTTTACACTGGTCAGGACTGTAAGACGAACTTTAACCAACAAAACCATTCTAGAGAAGGCTGGAAACATATTGGAAGAACCTGACAGCAAAACTCCTGTTTGCAGCGAGCATGATCCTCCAGCCTGGTTAGGCTGATGGGAAGGGTGCGAGACCAGCCAGTAACCCATCTGAGGATTTATCCTGAAAAAAGTTCACTTTCCTAGAGCAGCCATGGGGAACCTCTGGTTAGAGACACTGCCAAAGACAGCTAGTGGGCATTTCTGTCAAGGACACTAACCTGCTCCTTTCATCAGACACTTCATCTGGGGACTAAATCCCAACAGCATCTTAAATACCCTGGCCAGCACCAGCATAACCAGATACAAAGGCTCAGTCAGGGGGACAGACATAACAGGGCGTCTCCCTATCCTGACAACTCTGTGTCCGTAAAGGCAAAGGTGCCAGAGCGCCCTGCCCCAGGCTGCATCCTGGAGCAGCCCTCTGATACTGCACACCTCCCTGCAGTGAAAGCAGCTGATTCAGACACCTCGGCCTGCAGGAGGCCCAGAGGAGGCGGCTCAGGACGCTGGAAGTGATGGCGGGAAGACACACCTCTAGGTTCCCGGGCAGCCAGGGCACAGGAGCACAGCTTCGAAGAGCTAGCTGGCGGGGTCTGGCGAGAGCAATGTGTACAGCCAGACTCTGCTTTCCCCAGCTACTTTGGGCAAAATGCTTCATCTAACAGAAACAAATTCTTCATGTCTCAAATAATACTGTTTCCAAATATATTTTTTCTCCTTATTTTATAAATTCATAGCAGTAATCATTCTCCTGAGAGCAAATACTAGAATAATTATATAATCCTCATTCACATTTTACACTAAACATTTTCAATGGCCAGAACAGAGCAATTTTTAAATTTTGAAAAATGAAGTGTAAACCTTAAAAGTTAACAAGCAATGTTCCTCACCTTCCACTGATGAGAAGCTATCCAAACATGAACCTTCCCTCAGAGCTTTTTCAAAGTTGAGCCCCTCCCCGGAAGAAGTCTTTCTTCCTATTTCTCTACGAGGTCTGAAGGTCAGTTAAGGCCCAGTTTTGACAACACTGACTACTTCAAATAATAGGGCTGGAGGAAGCTACCGTATTTTGCCATGTATAATGCACTCCCATGTATAAGGTGCATCCACATTTTTTGGCCCAAACTTTCAGGGGGAAAATATCTTTTGTTTTAAATTTTTAATTCAATTATTTATTTATTTATATTTAGAAACAAAACCAATTATCATATGCCAGGGTATTATTTTGCATACGGATATTGTTATTGCTTTCTAGAGTTATACTTTTAATGCATAAACATAAAAAAAGGAATTAAAAACATTTATATAGATATGAATTAGTACTTACACATGTATAATGGGCATCCTTACTTTTCCCTCAAAAATTTGGGCACAAAAGTGCACATTATACACGGCAAAATACGGTTGCTTCCTTTGGACTGGGAACAAAGTCTGCTAAAAACCTCCCACTCAGCTGGCCTGGACCCCCTCACCCTGGAGCCTGGGTCGGTATGTGCTCTTCATGGCCCTGAGAGAAGCGCTTCACGTCCACCAAACTCAAGTGTCATTCAAGATGTCCAATGTGCTCAAAGGACGGAACCCATCTGCCCATGACTTAAGAATTTTTCAGAACTAAGAATAGTCACAAAAGAGGGAAAGCCCTGATCCTCGCCTCCGAGCTAAGGAAGCAGACACCAGCGTGTGGAAGACAGCCCCTCCCTCAGCGAAAGGCGGCCAAGCAACTACACCGTGGTACCCCTTGGCCACTCCTTTTGCTGCCTCCCCATTTCGCTTCCTTTTTTTACAGGATGAGTTAGTATTCCGTTTTTATAAAAGCTAGCAATAGTATGACCAAGTCTTGCAACTATAAGGCAATTAAATAAAAGGCTTTGGTGCCGTGAAGACCACTGCGAGGAGGAATCGAAGTTAGGACTCCAACCCCAGCCTCAAGGGCTGCCGTCAAAATCAGCCACTCGGTGCCACCTTGGTAACTTGGGTGTCCACACTGAAACGGGAAGTGGGGTACACCATACAAGTTCAGGCTTGTCATTTCCAAACGAACTTCCACCGACAATTGACTACTATAATAAATTTCTTGCTCTTTGAAGCTACGAATATATCTCGAGGCGAGGTGGGAGTAGGGATGGTCATAATAACAGTAGTCTCAGTTACTTGGTTGGCTGCATGAGGCAAAAGGCATTTGCCCTCATCACTGCCCCACGTCTCCTGAGGCTCCTGCAAAACAGATTCCAGCTGCAATTCAGGTTCCACTTCTTGGAGGACCAAGCAGAGCTGATACACAGAACTCAGTATGAGATGGGTTTGGGGGATGGGGTAAGATATTGCTCTTTTACCTAATTCCTTTAGAGTGGCACCGTGGATATTGACTAAAGCTGTCCTTGAAACCATCAATTCTCTAAACCTCACCGCAGTCAGCAGTCCGTTGCCAGGCTCTCGCAAATGCAGATCCTCAGAGAGCAGTGTCCCCACTGCAGAGTTTGCATCCTTCTCAGCTGTGCTGGGAGCCTTTTCCCACCTTACACGGGGACACACTCCATTACCCTCAGCAAGGGGACGGAATAACTCATACTGTCAGGCAGAGGCTCTCACTGAGGTTCTGGTTCTTATGTTCATCTTTAAACTGCTTTCCTGTCTGTGAATGAAGTATACCCCCTCCCCCACTCCCCTGTATCACAAAGGGACAGCTGAATGGCCAGATAATTTTGTTAAAACATTTCCACTGCTGAATCACACAGTATTCTTTAACTTTATAGCAATGAAAGGGTGGAGGATACCAGCTGGCAGCCATAGACATCGTTTGTTTAGCCCACTCTATTTTAAATTACCCTCAATTAGTTGTCAACATCTCTAAATCAGAAATTTCAAATAAAATTCTGTTCCTCCTGAAAAAAAACTGAAGACCTGCCAACGCTGGGCTCATTTCTGCCTAACACTTAGAGCTGAGTAACTGCCCTGTTCTATAAGCTTTCTGTGGTTCGGCCCGATCCGACCCAGCATGCCTCACTCATTTCTGTTATCTGCATAACTCTCCTGGGCATGTGAGTTTGAGAATCCTAATCTGGGGCAATTCCTTCATTGTAAAGATTCAAAGAAAGAGGGCCCAGGGATAGAAAGTGAACCTGCCTGAGGACATATATCAAGTCAGAGGGAAAATTAGGGTCAGGTATCCAATACAGCACATTGCCTCTCTACAGAACCACAACTCCTATCAGCATTCCTTCCACCAATTATTTAAAAATTCTAAGTGGCATATATTTTATACATGCTCCTTTTAGCCTTCTTTTTCATGTATTTGATTTCCTTACAGATGGCAGCTTTGTATGAATGATTTAATTTATATATTATCTCCAACCCCAAAGAAACAATGAATCAGGAATCAGACAAAACAAAAATAAGAACTTTTGCACAATTTAGTATATGCAGGACCAGAATCTTACAAATCATTTAGCTTAACAACTAGTTGTGCAGATAGAGAAACCAGGGTCAGGGGCATGATATGCTTAAGGTCACAGGATTCCTAGGTGAAAGAGCCAATCTTCTACTTCACTGCTCTTTCTACTGCACCATGTCACTCTGTGCAGTCACCTATACCGTGGGAGACCCAGGACCAGCTTGCTCCAGATGAAAAAAACTACAGAACTCTGTCCCATCTTAGACATGGGCCGACCTTGACTCTGCCGAGAACTAGGAGTTAGAATGCATTACAAACAACTTATCAAATTGGTTTTGTACTGGAAGACAAGACTTTCTTTAGAACTGGTATTTGGTGGAGAGTTTTTGAATATTACAGGACTTGGTGGTCTTCGTAACACTGGTTGTTATAAAAGCTAAGCCCCATGTCAAAAAAGTTGCTGTAAAACATCATAGCACCTTTGCTTCATCTTCAAAAGAAAAAAAAGGCAATGGTAAAAGCTTTAATAATAGACTGAGTGTGTGTTTATAGGCAACCAATTAGCAGATTAATAAACCATTTAAATTTCTTTACTTAAAAACCAATAGTCAAGAAAGATGAACCCAAAATGCATCCTCTCATACTGACCAACATAACTAAGTACAAATGAAATCAATGGTGTACTCATTAGCATGCTGCGCTGTATGTCAATAAAACGAGCCCTCCCCCACCCAGAGCCCTGGCCCCCAGCAAACGAGATAAATGATTGTGCACTGCGTGATGATACCATTAGGTGAGAACTTTGGTTCATGCAGTCGGCCACCACAGAGGTTGCACTCAACACCCGCAGCCCAGGCACCCCACGTCAGTCAGCAGTGGTGGCTCGTAGCATCAGCCGTGCTCCTTCCACAACACCAGGTGAATACTGTGGTCAGGCATGCTGGTGGCAAAGACCAAGCCCGTGTCATTGTGCCCATCCAGTCCATTCAGCCAGGAAGCTTCGCCTGCCAGGAAGCTTGAGCCTCTCTTTGATTTCCTGTACTCTGGCAGGGGCCAGCGGCTAATCAGGCTCTCTGTTCGCAAGTCCATGATGTATAGGTAGCGGTTGTCAAACAGCAGGGCAAAGACATCTCCAAAACCAAGCAAGGCCAAGTTTGGTATCTCAGGAGTCTTGATGACCCTACAAGAATGAGAGTAATAACATGAATCAGAAGACAACTTTGTTTTTGTTTATGCTACTGTAATACTCCGTGGAGACATTTATAAGCAATACAAAATTTAAACAAATTTCGAGTTAAAGTTTTTGATAAAAAGGAAAACAGGGACAAAAAGTTCAGCCTACTTTAAAACAGGGTCAGGGGGGCGTTCATAATAATATAACACAGACATGTAAGGAAACAGGCGGTATTTGATGAACGGTTAGTTATAAAAGCACAAAATGCCCATCAAAGCTGTAAAGGACCTTAAAGATTATCTCATTTAACATTCTCATTTACAAGATATAAAGACTGAAGCCCAGCCAGGGTAAATAATTTGGCTAAAGATTCACAACTAGTCGATTACCAGATAGAACTAGAACGTAAGACTCAACTCTTACCACTCAGTGAAAAGATTTATTCATCAAGCCCTAGAATACTGCCCTAGGGGAACCTCCTGAACAGAGGATGAAAACCAAGTGACTCAAGTGCTGCTCTCGGCAAGTAGCAAACACCTACAGGTTCCTCTCTAAAACAGTAGAGACTAAAAATATTAAAAGTTTCCCAAACAATCCAAAAACATTCATTAGTAACAGATTCACAAGAATTTGTTAAGAGAAAACTGGGGGAGTTGGAAGAAGAGCCTTCGCCTTCTCAGGTTCGCAGTTCCCAAGACATCAGCAACAAATGTACAAAATGGGAGAGATCTAGGTCAATGGCTGCACAAATGAAAAAAACCAAAACCAAAACAAAACTGAAGTGTCTGCTGTCTGCACACTTAGTAAAGTAAAAGATTGACAATAAAAAGTGATGTCCTCTTTGAAGGTAATAGGAAAAGAGCTACAGGATGAGGGATCTACAAATTCTTTCTGCAACATTAAGTTTGGGCCCCATGAAAAGCCAAGTTAGCCTATGTTTTAACAAGGACACTACCAACTAGAGTTATGTCCAAGAGGTCAACAGAATGGCAGAGCCTGGTAACCAGGAAAAGAAACAGATGAAGAAGATCAGCTGAGAGCGGGAGAAAAAGAATTGGCAGGGACATCACCATGTAATAGTGAAGGATGTGTAACAGGCCAGACATTACAAGCTCCAGAAGAGAGAATTAGGGTCCATGGGGGAGAAAGTGCACAGAAGCAGATTTCAGTTTGATACTAGAAAGGGAGACATGTTCCTCACACTCCACCTGTCCAAAACGGAACCTATTGGCCAAACCTGTCTCTCTTGTTTCCTTGCTTGCTCACTCATGCAGCTGCTCAAGCTACGAAACATGGCAACCATCCAACTCTCCTCTTTACTCAAACCATAAATTCAATCACCAAGATCTAATGGTTTTACCTCCTAAATTTCCCTCTAATTTATTTACTATTTGAATCGCCACAACTCTCATCTAAGACATCATCTTTCACCTGCACTACCGCCAAGAGTTTCTAATTGTTCTCCCCACATCTACTCTTGGTCCCTTTCAACCAGTTAACCTCACACTAAAATCTAATCCTATTACCATCTCATTTAAATTTTTAAACCCTTCTATGGCTCTCCACTGAACCCACCACACTGGCCTTCTTTCAGTTCCTCATCAAATGCACCAGACTTCCTTCAGTCTCACAGCCTTTGAACAGACTGCTCTCTCAATCTACAATGCTCCTCGATGAATGTCCCTGGCACTGAGTTAATGTAAATACTCAGCCCACACCTCTTACACCTCTTCCTCAAAGATTTCCCTTACTCCTCAATCTACGCGGGCTCTCAAAGTACCCAATACTATATTGCTCTTATCCTAACCATTCAAACATCTGTATACAATTAGCTATTTAATGTCAATCTTCCCTTCTGCTAGCTAGTAATTTCCACCAGTTTGGTAAGTATTTCCGCTGGTCCCCAGGGTACATCACGATGCCCAACACACAGGTAGGTACTTGATAAATATCTAATGAATAGAGTGATGGCGCAATGAACACAGGCAAATAAAAATTCCTACAAAAGAGATCCAAAAGAAACTGGTAGAAACAGCAAGAAAGTCTAGTTAAGTCCCACATCATCGTGCTAGCAGGAAATAACTAGAAACTTAGAACACTGGGCGGCTAGGGGTTAGGACTTCAGCCTGGTAAAAGTGAGCTGACTCTGAACCCTGAAGCACAAAAATGCTGCAGAACAGGATTCAGGTCTTCAGAACAGCCCCTGTCAATGGCTTCAGAATCGTAAGAGGACATCCCTGCACTGCAGTCTAGGCCCCTGAACCTAAATAACCCTGCCCGCTGTACTGATAGAACCTAGCTCAAGTGACTGCATCTTAGATGACTTAAGAACTATGCGGCCACCTGCCATTTGTACTTTGCTTCTTTTCAATCAGCTTCAAAGAGTAAGTAGCCCCTGCATGGTCTTAGCAACTAGGACCAGAGGATTTGTATAAAGATTTCAAAAGAGGCTGATTTCTTTGAGTTGAGGGGGTGGGGAGCAAGAGATTAAATAGCCCCCTTTCAAAGAAAAATCTGAACCTAGCACTTCTTAGCAGCAAACAATCTTGTCAATTTATTGCTTAAAATTAGTGGATCCAAACACGTAACTGAACTTTCAGCCAGGACTCCAGACTTTCTATGCTGTATATTCTTAGTAAGAAGCATACACGAGAAAGAATAATATTAAAACCTTTAGACACTCTAAGCATTAAAAAGGTTATATCTCTATTTTATCTTGCCTTTGCACCATTCCCTTGCAAATTTTAATTCAAAGCATAAACAACACTAAACTGTGAAAGACTCGTTTCTCCATGGTGACTACTTGGATTTATTTCTTTGCAAAGTATCAAGTTCTTTCAGAAGTTTCTTCTCTCTGACGTGCTGGTATCTTAAGCACAAGCTTGCTGGATGATCCAGCCACGGATAAATGGTGGAATGAATGGATGGATACATGGGTGGGTGGGTGCTGGACTAGGGTGTGCTGTGGGATGTTGGGCAAGGCCCCTGTGCTCTCTCAGCTTCAGTTTCTACATTTATAAGATGAAGAGCTTGGACTAATGTTTTCCAGGGTCTGTTCTGGTCTTTTTTTCCCTCAAAGCATAGAGAGCTTGGAGACCGAATTGGTTAGACACACAGGTATGACTCCAGGGAGACATAAATGGGGTTGTAACTTTATGGGCAGAGAAACAGTCCACTAAAGTCCTCTTGGCTAGTATGATCAGACTCCGTACAACCTGACTTCAAACAGTCTTGCATAAAAACAACGAAGGGAACATTCAATTTTCTGTACTTCCCCAAACTACCATGCTGCGGAACACTAATTCTGTGAGCTGTAAATGAGTGCTTCTCGAAAAAAAAGAAAAAGAGCTTTGTGCACTATGAATGTTAGGCACAGTAAGTTAAACAAATTCAAACAGATTTCTTTATGTAGGGTTTCTCAGAACTATTAGTAATAAATATCTGCGCTAAGTCCTGTGCTAGGTCCTCTTTACAGGCATTTCACTTAATCTTTACTTGACAGGCAAGAAATTGAGACAGAGAGGTTAAGAAACCTCCGTAATATCACAAATCTCATCAGAGATGGCACTATGTCTTAAACCAAAGTTTGTTTATCACCTAAGTAAGTTCTCTTAATCACCACAAGGTACTGGTTTCCATCGCCCTCCAATGTGCTAATAGATACTGCCAATTTCCAAGAGGGGTCTATGGTATGTATGGAATCACAATTTGTCCATGGATCTTTTCTTATTTATTTCCCTAGAAATAAACCTACAAGTCTATTTTTCTCTAAATACCTGTCTTTCTACTAGTCAGCAGAAGGCTACTCAATCCTTCAGTGAAGAATTTCAACTAACTAGGAAGTAGAAATTAAAATAGATGTGAAAGATCTTTCCATCCAAGACCCTCATTTTCCAGAAAAGCATTTTTAATTCTGACGGGGAAAGTGACTCAGAGTAAGAGGAGGGATTAGATACTACACTGTCTAGGTTCTAGCATGTAACCCTTCTAATAATGCCTGTAAAACATTTTTATGTGTGAAGTTTTCAGCATATAACCCTATTTATAACTGATGTAAAGATTTCCCAAAAGCAAGTTAGTGACTGGTTTATCCAATATTTAGTCTTGTCTTTACTATTAAACTGCAACAAAAGAAAGAGAAGACAGAAAGAGAGAGAGACAAGGGAGGGACTGCAACGAACTATCAAAAATAAAAGTCCAAGGAAACACTACCTGAGAATATCGTAACTGGCAAAGTCCCATTGGTAGAGGCCCAGTGCCGAACTACAGACAATGTATTTGCCATCAAAATGAAGTCTTGGCTGCAGGCAGATACTTCTATCCTCAGAGACAGACAATGTTTTTAAGCACTTGCAGTTGATTTCTCTCCCAATTGGCCAAATCTACAGATAAAAGAAAATCAGGAAATATGACAGATAACATCACCATAGAAAAGCTTGTCCTTAAAGTGGTTTCTGTTTGCTGAGATCAGATACAGATGGAAGCACACTGGAAAGACAACAGGTTTTATAGTTGAGAGGCATGGGTTCAAACTCTGATTCTTCATGTATGTGCTGTGCTGTCTGGGATAAAATACTTAACCTCTCTGCACATCAGTTTCCACAATGAAGATAATAATGCCTACCACATGAACAATGTAAAAGTTGCACTAAAAAAGTATGTAAGGGTGCTCTGTTAATATTTTTAATTTTTTTTATTATACAAATAAATGTTCATATTTTCATAGTTCAGACCTAAGAATTCAAGAGGGTAGAAGACACGTGTCTTCGGAAAACAGAATGGCCCTACCCGGGTGGCTCAGTTGGTTAAAGCATTGTCTCGTAAGCCAAAAGGTTGCGGATTCGATCCCTGGTCAGGGCACATACAGCAGGAAACCAATGATGTTTCTCTCTCCAATCAATGTCTCTCTCTCCCCCCACCCCTTCCTCTCTCTCTTTAAAAATCAATAAATATATCCTCAAGTGAGGATTTAAAAAAAAAAAAAAAAAAGAATACACTGAAGATAATTTTCTGTGGATTCTCTTTTCTTGATTTAAAAATCAGGGCTAGAAAACTGCCTAGAACATAGAGATAATGAGAATACTGACTTCCCTTGCCAATTGATTTAAGATGGCTTGGACAATGACATTCCTTGAAATTTTCATTTTAATGTTCTTATATTTGCCAGTTTTTCTTTGATAAGGCAATATAATAGAGAAAAGACTTTACCTTGATCTCATATTTGTCTGCACTTAACAGGATGTAGTCTCCAGGGCTGTGCAAGAGAGACTTGACTTTGCACTTCTGCAAAACCACCTAGAAATAAGAACATCCATGTTATAGAAAGATCCTTTCAATGCTACTCCTATATGGTTTTTTTTAAAATAAAATATGAAAAAGAGCTTGAAACGATATTGTATGCTAAAATAGCTGAGCTATAACTCTATGACAAAGTTAACCTCTACTAAGAGTTTTACTACAACCAGAGTATCTAAGTTACCAAGGATCTAAAAGTGTCTAATGTTGGCAGCATTTAATCTTGGCTTTAGTCTGGAGGCAAACATTAGGACTCATTTAAAAATTATAAAGTTACTTTATAGAAAATGTCTGTCTACTTCCACAGACATAGAAGTAGATTGAAATAATCTGTTTTCATAAGCCGGAGCACTATAAAGGTAAAAGCACTAGACTTCTTAGGACCAGAATCCGCTACATATTGACTCTGCAACCTCGGACAAGCCTCCATCTAGCCTCTTTCTCAGTCTCCCCGCTTTTAAAATAGGAGATGAGCCCTGGCTGGTATGGCTCACTGGACTGAGTGCTGACCTGCCAACCGAAAGGTTGCCGGATTGATTCCCAGCCAGGACACATGCCTGGGTTACAGGCCAGGTCTCCAGTTGGGGGCATGCAAGAGGCAACCTATCAATGCATCTCTCATACGTGATGTTTCTCTCCCTCTTTCTCCCTGCTTTCCCCTCACTCTAAGCATAAATAAATAAAAATAAATAAATAAATAATAACATAGGGGATGAGAAGAGAGGTTTCCAGGTAAGATGACGGCATAGGTAGACATGGTTCGCCTCTTCACACAACCACATCAATATTACAGCTAAAATATAGAACCATCACTTAGAACCATCAGGAATTCAGTTGAATGCAAGTCTGACAACTACAAATTAAAGAAACCAATCCATCCAGACTAGCAGGAGCGGGGTGCAGATGTAAAACAGGCTGGTCCCTCACCCATGTGTGGCGGATAAAAATTTGGGAGGTATCTCAAGAACAAGGAGTCCCAGCCCCACCCCAGGACCCCAGTCCAGGGTTCCAGTGCCAGGAAGATAAGTCCCCACAACTTCTGGCTGCAGAAACCAGTGGGGAATGAGTCAGTGGAAGAAACTACTGGAGTCCCAAGCAGTTCCTCTTAAAGAACCCACACACTGAATCACCTACTCAGACTCGCTCCCTCTGAGCTCTATCTAGCACTGGGGTAGCAGCTTGAAAGGCACCAGAGGTATAGGGGGAAAAACTGAAGTGTCTGGCATCAAGGACAGCAGAGGCCATTGTCCCTTTTCTAAACCCTCCTCCCAGGGCTGGCAAGCTGGGCCATATCTGAGACTCCATCAACCTGGCTAACACTGTCTGACCCTCCTTGGAGATACCCAGAGACTCCACCCCACCCAACTTACAGGCCCAGCCAAGCTGCTTTTCCATATGAATGGCTGGCCTTGGATCATGCTTCATAACTTCCTAAATCCGATCAAACAAGCAACAGCTGGCCTCAGTGAGCTCCAGGCCCAGCACTAGCAGAGGCCTGCCTATATGCACAGCTTGGCTTCCCCTGGGAATCTCTAAGCCCAGCACAAGTAGCAACCATCTCAGATTGCTTTATAGCTCAGGCAGGATGGTCCCAGGCAAAACACAGGTGGGGGCTAACCTTGGTCTGAACCACCTGGGAAACCCTGGGGCCAGTGCACCCACTGGAGAGCTACAGACCACGGTGGAGCACCACCACCCTGCCCTCGCACAGTTGATCTTCCACAGAGTGTGGAGGTTGGTGGTAAGTGGTCACAGCCTATCCTGGCAGCTGACTGGCCTGAGTAAATCCCTCCTGTTGATCTGCCAACAGCAACCAAGGCTCAACTACAAGAGGAGGGTGTGCTCAGCCCACATGAAGAGCGCACCTCAAGTACCCAGCTTGGGTGGTAGGGGAGGTTGTGCCACTGGACCCTACAGGACACCTACTACATTAGGCCACATTAACAAGACATGGAGTCAAAGCAGCTCTACCTTATACATAGAAACAAACACAGGGTGGCTGCCAAAATGAGGAGACAAAGAAAGATGGCCCAAATGAAAGAACAGGTCAAAACTCCCAAAAAAGAACTAAACAAAATGGAGATAAGCAGTCTATCAGATGCAGAGTTCAAAACACTGGTTATATAGATACTTAAGGAACTTAGTGAGGACCTCAAGAACATAAAAAAGATCTAGTCAGAAACGAAGATACACTAATTGAAATGAAGAACAATTTACAGGGAAACACCAGTGGAGAAGATGAAGCCAAGACTCAAACCAATGATCTGGAACATAAGGAAGCAAAAACAACCAGTCAGAACAACAAGAAGAAAAAAGAATCCAAAAAGCGAGGGTAGTGTAAGCAGCCTCTGGGACAATTTTAAGAGGTTCAACATTCCCCTCATAGAGGTGCCAAAAGGAGAAGAGAAAGAACACAAAATTGGAAATCTATTTGAAAAAAGAATGAAAGAAAACTTCCCTAATTTGGTAAAAGAAATAGGCATGCAAGTCCAGGAAGCACAGAGTCCCAAACAAGATGGATGAAAAGAGGCCCACTCCAAGACACATCATAATTAAAATGCCAAATGTTAAAGATAAAAGAAAGAATCTTAAAAGCAGCAAGAGAAAAGAGGTTAGTTACCTACAGGGGAGTTCCCATAAGACTGTCAGCTGATTTCTTGAAAGAAACTTTGCGGGCTAGAAGGGAGTGGCAAGAAATATTCAAAGTCATAAAAAGCAGGGACCTACAGCCAAGACTGTTCTACCTAGCAATGCTACCACCTAGAACCAAAGGGCAGATAAAGAACTTCGCAGACAAGAAAAAACTAAAGGAATTCATCATCACCAAACCATTACTACATGAAATGTTAAGGGGACTTATTTAAGAAAAAGATCAAACTGTTAACAGTAAAATAGCAAAAAATTCATATCTATCAACTGAAATAAAAATCTTTAAAAAATTGAATCTAAAAAACTAAGCAAAGAAGAAGAACAGAGGCAGAATCATGGATACAGAGAATGTTTTGATGGTTTCCAGATGGGAGGTGTGGGGGAATGGGTGAAGAGGTGAGGGGATTAAGGAGTACAAATAGGTAGTTACAGAATAGCCATGGGAATGTAAAGTACAGGATAGGATGGAGTAGCCAAAGAACTTACACACATGACCCATGGACATGAACACTATTGGGGAGGATGCCGGAGGGAATAGGGGTGCTAGGTGCAGGGGATGAAGGGGGATAAATCAGGACAATGTAGTAAAATGAGCAATGAAATATAATTTAAAAAAATACACTGTCCTATAGGGGGAAAAAGTGCCCACAATTCCACATGAAAACCATCTTCAACATTTTGGTACATGAACACATTCAGAAATGGGTATCAGATTCTATATAGTTTATTTTATTTTTTGTATGTGACCTGTTTTATTTGCTCCCTGTGCCCATCTATTACACTGTGGGCATTTTCCCATGTCCTTAAGTCATTCATATTCACAGCATGTCTTTTACATGCTGGTCACTGTTGTACACCATCATGGTTTGTGGTTACATCTATTCCAACTTACGGCTCACCTACCATTTACAAGGCAGCACGTACCATCCCTCCACCCCCCCGCCCCCACAAAGACCGACATTAAGGAGACTGTCCTCCTACCTTGGTAACCCATTCCGTATGCCCGGTGAGTGTGTTCAGGCATGTCCCAGCAGATAAAGCCCATACTTTCACAGTGAAGTCTGCAGAGCCGCTCACCAAGATATCCAGCTCATCATTGTAGTCGACACTAAACACTAATACATGTAACAGATGCAAAGTTAAATCATGCCTATCTGAGTCTTATTTATAAGAAAATTCAACAGTGTTTATTCTCCTTAGCTGCTCAATTTTATAATTTCTCAACCAGAGCTATGATAAGAATGGTATTACTCAACTAGCAATTTTATGAAAAAAAAATACCCATTTCAAAATTCTTGTTGGAAATAATGGCATTTCTTCTCAGGACTATCTGCCTGACACTGTACAAAGCTGACCTAGCTTATGCAGGGAAAACAGAATGAACATAGGTGGCCCTAGTCATACTTGCACTGTTTATTGCAGTGAGTCAAAATATCAATAATATGCTGTAAAACAATAACCATGCCCAAGAAAAGCCAGTGTAATGAGAAAACAAAACACAAACAAGGATCTCGAAGGCCAGACTAAGCCATTCCCTCAAAACTGTCTGCATTTCTTCATAGCTATACTTCAACACCTAAAACAATGTCTGAGTATACAGCAGGTACTCAAATATCTGTTTTTCAGTGCCTGCCACACTCTATAGAAACACTGGGAACCAAAGATGAAGACACTGGTCTTTTCTTTAAGGAACTCAGTCTAAGTAAGCAGTGGAGGAAGAAGTCCAGAAAAAACAAAATGTTTACCTCTTGCTAGGGAAACACCAAGGAGAATGACTAACTCTGCCCAGGGGTATCAGGGAGGACTTCAGGGAAGAGGCGATATTGGAGATGGGCCCTGAAGGATGAGTAGAGTTTATCAAGAAAAGACAGAGAATATTGCAGGTAGAGGGAACAGCAAAGGCATGGAGTTAGGAAAAGCCACAGCAATGTCCAGGGAACAACAAGGAGGAAATTTTTTAGAGCAGGGCTCTCAAAGTTCATCACTTATAAAATCACCTGGTAGTCAATGTATACCTTGACACTGTGGAATAGTACACTCAGTTTAACATGTAAGTTCCATGGTAAATCATGTATCTTCAAATATTAATTTCTATAATAAACAAGTGGTAGCAGACAAAAGACTGAGGAAAAATGCATAGGATGACAGACAAAATGAGGGAAAAAAACTGCTTTTAGCAATAAAACAGCTAGGTTTACTTCAAAGAATTACTGAGTGCCAGGTACAGTGCAAGAACTTGGGACCTAATGGTAAAGACGACTGGCAGGGCCCCGGCCAGCGTGGCTCAGCTGGTTGGGCATCATCCCATAACCTAAAGGTCGTGGGTTCAATTCCTGGTCAGGGCACATACCTGTGTTGCAGGGGCATGTAAAAGAGGCAATCAATTGATGTCTCCCTCCTTCTCCTTCTCCTTCCCTTCCCCACTCTCTAAAATCAGTAATAAGCATGTCCTTGGGTGAGGGGGGAAAAAGACAGACAGGATCCGTCTTTCTGGATCTTACTGCCTGGTGGGGAAATCAGGATTACCATACTTCTTTGTATGATGTGTGTTTTGACAAAAATACAGATTATTAGGAAACCTATAGCAGGGGAACTCAACCAGTTTTGGAAGTCGACAAATGCCGCTCATAATACGTGATGCTTAAGAGCATGGTCTATGACTTTCAGGGGGGCATGCAGTGTGCACATGGGGAAAGGAAAGGAGAGAGCTGATGCTCGCAAGTCTGGGGAATAGCTCACCATGGTTTCAGCACAAAATTCCAAAGTTCAATGCAGTGACGGAGCTCAGGTCTCCAGGCTATAACCAAATGACCAGCCTTGGCAAACTAAGGCTGCTATAAAATTATTAGGAGATACTCAAGTGTCTGTTTCTTTTCATCTTATCTCCAGGCAGTGACTTGTTATCAATTGTCAAATAAGCTCTAACTCAATGCAATATGTGCAGATGACACAAAGCGGGAACCACTATCACTCCAAAAGATTTTAGCCCTGTTTCTACAAATAGACTGAATTTTTAAGTGTAGGACTTGCTCAATTTGGAGGTAAGAAACCTAATAAAAGCAAAGGGGACTGACTGTTCAACAGGATATAAATGAAATAGGAGAGCAGGAGAACTGCCCCCTCCCAGCATAAGGGTATATGGAAAAGAGTTTTAAATGGCCCAAGGAAAAAGCAAAATTAGGAAAAAGATACCAAATAAAAATAACTTGAATAGAGGGATTAACTGTCATGGCTGAGAAGGAAAGGGGAGAAAGGCAAGTTAAGTTAAAAAACAAAAACAAAATTAAAAAAAAAAAGGAGATCACATTCCTGGCTCCTGACTTTAGAAATGAGGTTGAAGTAGCTGTAGAAAGCCTTGGAAGAGGGTAACCCACCCGCCCCTGTGTGCCCTCGAAAGTGCTGGGTCCTGGCTCCGGAACTCCATTCCCAGCAGGCCACAGTGTTGTCAAAGGAGCCTGTCACAAGCTTCTGCTCATCAAACTTCACTGCTGCACAAGTATGCGTCTGGATGCCGTAAACGCACTGCCCTGTGCTCACATCCCACAGTTTTGCAGACAAGTCATCTGACCCTTCAAGAGAAACACAGAGATTAGTAAGAAGAAGGAAAGTCAATCCCCAAATCACAGTATTCCTAAAGAACCTCAGCAGTTACCTCACTCCCACTTCATAGCAGAGAAAACCAAAGCACGGAGAGGGTAACACGACTTGTGCAGTCACCAAAATGGTGTTAAGAGCATGGGGGCTGAATGCAAACTTTTTGGTTTAGTCCTTTTCCCTTAACTTTTTAGGTTATAGAGGAATATATATATGTATGTATGTGTGTTTGTGTGTGTGTGTGTGTGTGTGTGTGTGTGTGAGGCTAACGCATCTCTTGGCGCTTCCACTTGTAAAATGTCATAAATCTTTCAGCTTTATGAGCTCTGATTTGAGCTTGAAATGATGGGTATTACCTATGACTGCATGTGTACACTTGCATGTTTGTCCATTACCCAACACCCTGAACAAATAAAGAGTGTTAAACAGTAAAGCTGTTGTTGGAACATGCTCTACTCAAGACAAGTCAAAAAGGAGCTTCAGATCACAGGTTAACTTCTGAAAAGATTAACTGCTCATTTCTCGAGCCATCTTGAAATGCATAAGGGAACCTCTAAGATAACCACAGATAAATCATTCCCAGGCATTCACAACTCAACAAGGAACTTTAAAAGCCTCTTAAGATTCTGTAGAAAAAAGCAGGTTTCATTTCTGCTTCTGATAAAAATATTATATTGATCATGGTGACAATTCAGGACTTTGCTTTAATTATATTTAAAATGCTTATGATTAGTTCATATCTCACAATTTACCTTTAGGATAGAAAATAATAAGAATCAAAGGACATTTTGAGGACACAAATACCATCACTATGACAAGGATACAATAATCTGGAAAGCACCAAATGACCAGTTTTCAAAATAACACCAATCCACAATTCTACATGTAAGGGATGGTCAAGAGCCACTGTTTCAGGCAATGGAAAAATAGCTATCACTATGAAAACAGCAGAGCACAAATTTTAATCTGGGCAAACCCTTAAGAGAACATACTGGAATGGAGATTATATTTGTTGTCACTTTGCTATTTAGAGATTCTGTTTACTTTCTATAAAATAAGGGGTTCGACTTGACTGGTTGTTCTCAGTGGGTATGTAAGACATCAGAATTATCCGAGGAGCTTAATCAAAGCATACATGCACGACTCCACCTTCAGAAACTCTAAATTAGAATAGCTGAGGTGAGGTCCAATACTTTTAAAAGCTTGCCAAGTGATTCTAATGCATAAGCAATATTTGAGAACCAATGTTCTAGAACAGTGCTGTTTGACAGAAATATGATGCAAGCCACATTAGTAATTTAAAATTTTCTTTTACTTGAAAAAGTAAACAATAAAATGTAATATAGTATAACTATCAAATTATCATTTCAACATGTAATCAATATAAAAATTATTAATAAAATATTTTATATATTGTCTTTGAAATCCAATAATGAGTATTTCACATTTCATATCTCAGTTTGGACTAGCCACATCTCAAGTGCTCAAAAGCTATAAGTGGCCTAGTGGCTATTATGTTATTGGACAGTGAAGGTCTAGATAATCTTTAATCTTGGGTATTTTGTGACTGTATTCCTAGTGAGCTAAGGCAGGAAATAATTTTAGGATCTAACATTGGTTCTGATTTATTGTCAGTATTCAACTGGAGCCACATTCATTCATTCATTCAACCTGTATTTACAGAACTTCTATGTCAGGCAGGCCTGGCTCCTGCCCACATGGTGCTTAGTCTACTTGGGAAAACAAGAAGGCTAAACAAGCAACAGTAATTCAGTATAGTAAGTAGCAGGCAGTACACAAGCCCATGGCAAGTACAAAGAAGAGTCAAAAGGAACAAATGCCTCAGATGAAGCTCCATGGAGTTTACCACTGTGCTCCTCAACATCTAGGTGGTCCACAAACGTGTTTTGGGAGATGACATGATTGGCTCCTCAACTAGACTCTTATTTGTTTTTAGGCTGGGCTTTAGCATAAGACTGTTTGAAAAAGGGATTTCAAGACTTAAAAAAAACTAGCTAAAGTCTGAGGTATGAGCAGGTTAACCTCTCCTACCTCAAAGGAAGAGTATATGCCAAAGGTGAGCAGAATTTTTTCAGTAAAAGACCAGAGAGTAAGTATTTTAGGCTTTTTGAGCCATATAGTCTCTTTTGGAATTACTCTCCTCTGCTGGAGCTGGCCTTGCAGCTGGGAGTTTGCCAACCCCAGACATATACCTATTAAAGTACCTATTAAGTATCTCTACATATTACATACATATATGTGAATAGATACTGGGGTCAATGCATAAAGAACTGCTTGGAAGCACCCTGAAAACTGCCTAGGAATAACTGACAATGCTTGTCAAAATGCTCTGTCTGAAACATGGGCACTCATTTTAAAAGCTGTTCAGTATGACTGAGAATGGTGGCAAGGTCCAGCTGGAGAACTGGGTCAGAAGGATCTCGAACTGTGACCTTATTAGTATTTCTAAAAGACCACTATGGCTGCATCACAGAAAATGGTTTCAAGTGGGCAAAACTGGAGGCAGGAAGGCTAAACACCAGAAGAGAGGACAAACAATATGTGGTATGTCCATACAATGGAGTATTATTCAACCTTAAAAAGGAAATTCTGACATATGCTACAACATGGAGGAATCTTGAAAATATTATGCCAGGTGAAATAAGTGGCATAAAAGAACAGGTACTGTATGATTCTACCCATACAAGGTACCCGAGTAGTCAAATTCAGAAACAGTAAGTAGAACAGCAGTTGCCAGGTCCTGAGGGGGGAGGGAATAGAGGTCAGTGTTTAATGAGTACAGTTTCAGTCTGAGAGATGTATAAAGATCTGGAGATGTATGTGAATGTGAATGTACTTAATGGCACTGAAGTATACATTTAAAAAATGGTTAAAGTGATAAATTTTATGTTATATATATTTTGCAATTTGATTTTAAAAAGTTAAGAGTTTAATCTAGTTTACATAGGAAAAAACGGGACCATTCAGCTTTACTCCTGAAAGAAACATGAAAAAACAATCAGACAGAGTTCTAGTGGCACAATTCTACTCTTAATTGCTAAGCCTTGAGGAGCCATTATTCTCTGTTCCTTTTTGGCTGTATGTCAATCTTCGTAATGGATTCCCATTTGCTGCATTTTCTAGCCCAACAGGTTTTCAAAGAGGTCATCAAAGATGCAGCCTAGAAACAAAAGGGGACTAAGTAAATGTAAACTATTTTTCATTAGAAGAGGGGAGGGGAGCCCTCTCAAATGAGAAAATAGGATGAAAACAATACTTTGATATAAAAAAAAAAATTAGAGGGATGGTTATGTAACAAAGGTTAAGCAGAAAAATGAGCTGAACACAAATGGAGTAAACTATCGTATCAAGCTAAGTTTAAATATTTAACTTGTAGAACAGATCTCAGCTCTCAGAAGCTTCTCTCTGAGGCATTTGACTCGGCAGACCAACTGAACAAACATTTACCAGTGCCCTCATTACGACAGGCAATTTTCATTCTTCCTGAACTCTCATCGCAGTTCTGTTTCTTTACCTCTCCCCTTCCCCTAAGTACACTCTTCAAGGATCCACCCCAGGCTCCGTTCTTCTCTACATCTCCTTTTAGAATTTCACGGTTGCAGTCAAAGCTGTGATGACTAACTCCTAAATCTTTTCTCTCCAGCTCTGAGCACTCTCCAGAGCTCTGATCCTGCATTTCCAGATACTTGTGGGAATCTCCACTTACACATCCAAAGGAATCAAGTTCACCCCAAATTGAACTCCATCTACCCTCTCAAATTTATTCCTTCATTTTCCGTTCTTGTTATTAGTACTGCTACCTTCCCAGGTATACACAAAGCTAGAAAACTCAGCTGTTTTTGAAATCTCCCTTTTCCTTGCCACATACACAATTCATTGCCAATTCCTGTCAATTCTATTTCAATGGCTACTCTTCCATTCAGCTGCTTCTTTTTAAAAATGTCTCTACCGTTAAATCTAGGCCTATGTACCCTCATCTAAACTGCAACAGGCTATGCCCTGGACAGGTGGCTCAGATGATTGGAGCGTTGTCCCATACACCAAAAGGGCTGCGGGTTCAATTCCCGTCAGGCACATACCTAGGTTGCAGGTTGGATTCCCCGGTTGGGGTGCATATGGGAGGCAACCAATCGATGTTTCTCTCTCTCCCTCTCTCTAAAATCAATAAACATATCCTCAGATGAGGGTTAACAATAAATAAAATTATGAAATAAACTGCAACACACTAATACTTTAATTTGAAACCTCTAGTTCTCTCTCTGTCCGAGAGTCTCACCAGAAAAGTCCTATCTCCTAAGAGAACATTTTAGAGATTCTTAAGGGCGGCTTCAATCGTCATACTGATTTAGGGGCAGAGGGGTACTACTGGCATCTACTGGGCAGAGGCCAGGAATGCTAGCCATACTGCAATGATTAGGACAGTGCACAAAAACAATCAGCTTGTAGTCTGCATGACATTCTTAAAGGTTTAGCCAGATAGCATAAGTGAAAAGTTTATTCTTAGTTACCTGAGATTAGAACCTGTTTTACAAAACATATTTGCAGTTTATTCTGAATTTCCCAAAAGTTTAACTACCAGGTATATTAAGGAAAAAATACACTTTGCTTTGTTGGAAACTTTACCAAGAATTTTTCACCATTTGAGAAATCACTCCACTGATGGTATCTGTGACACAGCTTTGACAACATTCTGCATTTACAGCTGTCATATTCAAAGTCGGTACATACAGGCGCAAATTACCTGATCACCTTACTGATTTCTAGCATAGCTGTGCTTGAGCACTGCATGTTTAATGTGTTATTTTAAGTTACAGTCTTCTTATTTATCCTCTCACACAGAGTTTAGGCATTATACTGATTTTTAAAATATGTATACTTATAAATTATTTCTATGAATTTTACTTCAAGATAAGAGATTACTGTAAAATATGTTATAAGAAGTAGACCAGGATCTGACAGAAATAAGAAACACTGATGTACTTGAAGCAGAGAGCTCTGATCCTGGCCCTTTTTCTGCTCAGAAATCTTTCAGATTTTTTTCTTATTTACAGAAAACTGTCCAAACTCATGTTCTCGGCATGCAAGGCTCTCACAACACAACCCAAGCCTATCTCTTTATTATATTCTAATAGTCTCTTATATAGAGTCCCTACTTATATCCTAAGGGCCCAGCTAAAATGAATTTTCTTTATTTTCTTCTTACATGCTTCATGCTTAGCCGTGTCATATCTTTGTTAACACCGATCTTCCTATTAGGAAGCCTCTACTTTGAATTTCGTTTCTCTAAAGTCTACCCATTCTTCAAGACTCAAAATAAACACACTACTCAATTTTCTCAAATGGAAGAAATAATTCCTTCTGAACAATTACATGAAAATTTTCTTACACACTTTAACTATATCATTTAATTATACCTATTTTATAGTTCTTGTTTTCTTATTTAACTATAAACCAGATGTTATAATATAGCAGCTTGCAGGTTGAATATGACCCAACCACAATATTTTTCAAATATAAATAATACTTTAAAAAATCAGGGTATTTCACAAAAATCTAGGTGCAGTACTTCCCTTAAAAGTGAGATCTGACAACTCTGAGCCTGAATTCCACATAGCAGTAATTCACGGCAGTGGAGTGGCAGCTACAGGCTCCAGAAGAGCAGGTGTTCTCTGATTAGCCATCGTCCACATGCAGACTTCTACTTAGCCGGGTTACCTTCCTGATCCCAGTATGTCTGTTCTCTGCTTCAACTTATCTGTGTATGCCTTCACATTGTCTTTCACATAGAAGGCATTTTAAAAGTAACTATCTACTGAACAGTATAAAGCATAACAGGTTCCTTTCTTACCATTTCAGCAATGAGCAGGATAATCACCTCATTCCATCTATACCATGTTAATTTAAGCATTAGCCATCAATCTTTTTGGCAATACTATTTTATTGCTGTTCAGTAGGCTAATCCAAGAGCCACTATAAGCTTACTTTTAACTTCAGAATTTCCCAATTCAACCACAGTGAAAAATATAAGCTCTCAAGAAACCAGATGACACAAACACTTGTACAGGCATACCTCAGAGGTATTGCAGGTTTGGTTCCAGATCATTGCACTAAAGTGAGTCACACAAATTTTTCAGTTTCCCAGTGCATACAAAAGTTATGTTTACACTATACCGTAGTCTTTTAAGTGTGCAATAGCATTGTGTCTTAAAAACAACAATGTACATACCTTAATTAAAAAATACTTTATTGCTAAAAAATGCTAACCATCATCTGAGCCTTCAGCGAGTCATAATCTTTTGCTGGCAGAGGGTCTTACCTTCAATTTGTTAAAAAAAAAAAAAAGCAATCTGTGAAGCACAATAAGGCAAAGGTCAATAAAATGAGGTATGCCTATATAATTCTATAACAAATACTTCTGTCACTAGTAACAGTGCTAGGGATGCTATGTTAGAAAAATTAAACTAATGCTTTGGATCATTTTCAAGAGACAAAGCATGACTTTCGGTATACAAACTCAATTAATTTAATCAGAATAAAAATAACAGAACACACATACCCACCTAGAGAATAATTTTAAAATGCAGGGTTGGGTTCAGTTACTGTAGACATTAACTTTCTGGGTAGTTAAAGAATTCAGTGAATGTGTCCCATTTATTTCTGCTCCAAGTAATTGAAGTTTTTGTACTTCAAAAGTAAAGTTTGATGAGAAATTTTTTTCAAAATGTTAGAGGTGGTACTGAAATGAGTCAGCTACCAGTAGTTACCCAGGTGCAAATGAGTGCCAAGCTCAAAGTTAATACTGCACCTTAATCTTTAAAAAAAATTTTTTTAAATACCCATCACTGATCATGGTATTAATCAAAGGACATGGAAAAGCCATCACCACAATTCAGAAAGTACATCGAGGTATAGAAGAACAGACAACATTCCAATAATCAGGCTTATGAAAATAATGTAAGCATAGAGTAACTTCAGTATGACAAACCAAACCAGGAGACACCTTAAATTTAATGTTTACTTTACAAAACAAAGTGTCTAGTATTTCAGAGAATGTAACACTACATGGAAAAAAAATGTACATCTTCAATGAAAAGTAAAATTTTAAAACAATCATGAGAAATAACATATGTCTTAACTATTCAAAAATAGTATAAGCTAGTAGAACTGTGAGAGAGAAGCAGATTATTTAACACTTTGCTGTAGGCATGACACCAATCTATCTGGAAAGGACACTAAGAGGAGCTATAAAAGCATTCACGTTTCTGGATTTGGTGATTATACTTTGAAGTTTCTGGCTCAAATAAGTAATTCAAGGGGAAAAAAACAATGCAAACAAAAGTATTCATAAAAGTGGAAATAACCTAACGAAAGTGGAATATACACTTTTAATGAATATTTTTATATTCATAAATATACTTATAATATAGTTTTATATTCATAAAATGTAAGTATTTTAATGGATATTTTAATAAAAATATTCATAAAGTAGAATATGCACTAATATGGAAATGGCTAAATAATGACACATTTACACAAAGGAACAGTATGTACTATTAAGAATGGCATCTACATAGTTTAGGTAATACTCAAATGTTTATTAGAAATTATCTTGGATGAAGAAAGAACTGAGAGTATCCCATTATATTACATACAATGGAAGTGAATAGGCATTGGGATCATTGATAAGAACTGCTAAGAGGCATTTGAAACACTGCCTAAGAATTAATTACAATGTCTGTCAAAATGCATTGCCTAAAATGTAGGCACTGATAATATGTAGAAACATATACCCATTATAATCGGAAGAGATACATAAGTCTAAATTTTAATGATTATATTTGTTATATATAAGTTAACTTAATTGCCTAGTTTTAAAATATCCACCCTGGCTAGTGTGGCTCAGTGGACTGAGCGCTGGCCTGCAAACCAAAGTGTCGCCAGTTCGATTTCCAGTCAGGGCACACACCTGGGTTTCAGGCCAGGTCCCCAGTAGGGGACACACGAGAGGCAACCACACACTGATGTTTCCCTCTCTGTCCCTTCCCCTCTCTAAAAATAAATAAAATCTTAAAAAAAAAAAACCCAACTGTTGACCCTGGCCAAGTAGTTCAGTTGATTACAGCATTATCCCAATACACCAAGGTTGTGGGTTTGATCCCTTGTCAGGGTACATACAAGCAGCAACCAATGAATGCATGAATAAGTGGAACAACAAATTGATGTTTCTATCTCACTCTCCCTAAAAATCAATCAATAAGAAATTAAAATATCCAACTGTTCTCATTCCCACGACTAAACTCTTAACCTCTAATCCTTCTTAGTCAAGAGTTTAGAGCAAGAAAGAAATACCTCCCTTCCTATACAGTACAGACAAGGAAGGAAACAAATACAGAGAGGTTATGTAATTCTTCCAAGAGGACCTAAATACTTGCTTGAACTAGACACAACCTTTCCACTGGGTTTTCCCCAAAATCATTGCTGATAGGGGGGAAAAAAAAAGAACAGTTCCAGGGTCCCTTACCTGTACAGAGAAGTCCATCTTTGTAGTAAAGTGCATACACTCTGGCACTGTGTCCAATTAATGATGAGGTTTCAAAGGCTTCATGGTCCTCCAGTTGCTTCATTCTCAAAATAGCCTTCAAATAAACCTTCTTCCAGTGCAAAGCGTCCTGAACAGAATCATCTATCTGCCAGCCCAAATTTTTACACGCAGTCTGCCACACCTCTGTACAGGCACTTATCACTTTATTCCACTGTTTAGAGACGAGGCAGCATGTGAGTAAAGTCTGAGGATCGAGCCATTTTAACAAATAAAAACTGAGCTCCAAGGGCAGGAGTTTGAGGAAGTCCCGCTTGAGGAGAGTCTCCAGGTTATTGGAGAGATGCCTGAGCTGGACTGCCCCACTCAGACTAATCAGGTGATCCAGAGTTTCATTTTTCTGCAAGTCCGTCAGAGAAAGAAACGTAACAGAAATGTTATCAAGCCATGTCTCAAAGTCCTTTCTCTCCATAAGGTTATGGAAAAATTTACCTGTGGCACATCAAAATATTGTATTAGTTCTGCTCAAAAAGACCGTTCAAGCAAGACTGCTAACAAATGAAGTATCAAAAATTAGTGTAAAAAACTTGGCATTACAACTTTATGCTTAGTTACTACATTACAACTATACAGTTAATACATTGTATCTGATGTTTCCATGCACACAAAAGAAAATACATTTGAAAAAACATTCTTTAACAAATCATGATCTCAGAAACATAAGTCAATGAAACTTATGTTGCTATGTGTGACTTGCTCCTTTTGAAGTCTAGCACATGCTACATGCATTTTTACAAAGATTTACAAAGCATTCATTCTTTAAGAAACAGTGTATTCTATATAATATACCTCTCCTTCATCAATACCATCACAACAGGACTTCCTTAACATATTCCATTTAGGCATTAAAATCACAAAAATAAGCACCATGATGTGACAACCACAAAGCAAGTCTGGAGCAGAAACCGGAGATATTAGTTATCATGCTAGGCACAACCTGACCTGTTACCAAAATCACAGAACTGATTACTGGCTTTTGCAACAGATATTCAGGCAGAAAGGTTTGGGGAAGAAAGATAAGCAGATTTAGTATGCTACGTGGCTCAGGTATTCTGGTTCTTCCACTTCCTTTATGGCACTGCCTGTTAGAACATGAATTACCAAAGGCCTTATTTGGCCTCACATAGTCTGTTTTTAGAAGCCTTATATGAACTGGTGACAACTCTTAACCATGTGCCTCAAAATAATGTGGGTCCTAGAAACCAGAACAAGTCAGTCAAATTAGTATTCCTGAGGCTTACAAAACACCAAAAACCAGGTATCATCATCTCCACTTTGCCAATAAGGAAGTTACAGGTCAGAGAAAGTAAGCGATTTGCCTGTAGTCAACAGAGCTAAAATAGCAGAACAGACTTGAGACCATTGCTCTCAGTATCAGTAATTTTCCAACCACACCAAACTGTCTTTCTCTGAAGTCAGCTACAACCAGGAGCATCACAACCTGGTGATAAGATCTGGGGGCACTGTGCCCATCTGATTATACTACCTTTCCCCTTAGGAGAATGACAAATTGCTCCAGGGCTAACCGAAACAAAAAAAAGAATTTACAAGTATCCAGCGTTATACAGTGTGTCAAGGTGGCAAATCGCTCAACGCTCAACAATGGGGACTAAACTAATGAAAAGAGAACAAAAATAAAGCAAATCAGTAAACACCATCTTTCTCAATACTGGCCGTATACTGATAAACATTAGTGCTGGGTGAAGGTTTATTATTCTTTTATTTTTTTGTTTAAACATTTCCACGATTAAAAAAAGAAAAAAACTTCCCTCCTAATCTGATCAGTTTTCCACCAAATGTATGTCCAAATTAACTTGGAAAAGGAAAATAAATCCCTTTCTACGTATGTCCCCTAGATCAGGTCTATATATATAAAAAAAAAAACAAAAACAAAAACAAAAAAAAAAAACAGATCTCATCTCCCAACTTTTGTTAATCTAAGGTGAGTAAAAACCATTTTCATTAATTTCCCCAATATCAAATTTGGCAAGAATGTCACTGGGCAAAAAAGCAGTAGAAGCAACCAAACCTTTCCAATCACTTCATCTACTTTTGTTCTTCAGAACAGTGAACAGACTTTAAAATAATACTCTTGAAGCCTCAAGGTTTAGGCTAGGTAGGATTTATTAATTTAGGGATTTACTTGGCTGCCAAAAGATAATCAGTTCACCAAAAGTTTTATTAACCCAAGATAACAAGCCTCTTACTCCTCGATCTTAAGATTCTATCTACAACATTTCTAAAAATTTTTGGCTTAAAACATCTTTTACACTAAGACAAAAAGAACACTTTCCAATGAACATTCACACAATGTCAGAACAGCTAATTATTAATACTGGTCAATTAAAAACATACACCTAAATATCCTCCCAGGAATCATTTTTTACCATATAAAAAAAGGGGATGGGGGAACAAGGGTTTCCTCCAATACCTACACCTCTACTCTACACACACACACACACACACACACACACACACACAATGCCACAGATTATAAAAATGCTTACATTTATGTAAGCTGAACTGTTATTTAAATAGCCACAAGACAAACGGATAACACCCATGATAACATTATCAGACTCCCACCATTAACAAATAACTAAGAGACATCCTACAGCAGGCAATGTGCTCATGACACCAACAGAGGATGAGCACTGTTAAAAAAAACAACAACAAAAACCAGCCACTTCTGAGAGTTATATATTCTTCTAACTCTTCAGAATATTTTTTTTCCAATTCTTACGTTAGGAATTGCCCTCTAAGCTACTGAACCCTTTATGGGTGGCTGTTTTTCCAGTTCTTCATCTCTGATTGTCACGAAAAAGGCATCTTTCTTTCAATAAAGCAGACCCATTAACCCAACTGAATGCATGATTTAAAAACACCTGTTCTTACTTTTCTAAAAAATCAACGAACTTTGGAGGAAACTCTCTTAAGGCCACATGACTAAAGTGCACTCTTTTAGAGAGCCTCTAGGAATATTATGTACTGGCAGCACAAGGCCCCAGGGGGAAAATTTCAGGAAGAGGAATTTCAATTCAACACAAGGAGAAGCTTTTAAATCATCAGAGTTTTAATAATGGAACAGCTGCCTCCAGACTGGTGAACTTCCCATCACTGGGAAGTCAAGGACAACTAGGTAGAGCAAGGTAAATGAAAATGCTTTGAAGTCAGTCAAATCCTTTACTGATTCAGCCACTTCCTATGTGATCATGGGCATGTTCAGCTAACTCTCAACTTCAACTGTGTCATCTGTAAAATGGAAGCTCTCATTTACCTTCACAGCTGGGAAAATCATAAAGAGGTACATGCTTAGCACAGAGCCCCATCTACAATAATACAAATGACACTTTGTGTTAGTTTGGTTTTTTTTTTTTTTTTAATGATAAATACCTGGCAGGAGAGCTTTTAGTTGCCCTGAAGCAGAAAAGGACATGACCACTAACATCCCTTTGAACTCTATGATCTTACTCTTATCACAAAGTTTCTCTTAAAATGGCTTAAGATATATGCAAGAAACACTCAAGGGCTCAAACGTACTGGGAGTTTCATTTTATAATTAAGGGCAGTTATTGACTCAAGGCTATCGTTTGCCAGTAGGTGCATTTTTGTCCCCACTCCAACCATGCGCAAGTTGTCTTGCCCTTTTTCCCTCCACTTCACACTAAACACTAAACTTGCCCTGCTGCCCTCAACAGTCACAACCACAAAGCTCTGAAGTGGGTGGTGGGATGAAGAGGCTCCTGGACTGGGAGACGGGAGACCGGGGTTTGGTCGGCGGTTCTGCCATTCACCCCCTCTGTTCCCCGGGGCAACTCGCATATTTGTATGGGTTCAATGTCTCCTTGTAGACATTACTTCACCTGATTTCACAACCTTGTGGAAGGTATCAGTACTACTGTCCTTCACTGAGAAATGAGGGCATTTATGGCCCAAGAAGTGGCATGGCGGATGCCCCGCGAACCAGCAGGCTCAAACATCTTGCCCAGCCCCCATCCTCTCCAAACAAAGCCAAACCTCTACCTCTAGGTCTTATCAAAGATACGGCGTTCTGGATGACACACAGTGACCTCAATTTCCTATTCTCCACCCGGACCTGGACTAACCAAGGGTGATGGAAGGCATTTGCTTCGGGGGAGGAGGCTTCATCTTCTCTCGCTTATCCGACATAACCAGCGGTTCGGGAGCACAGAGGCTTTCACAGACACAGAGTATCTTTTCAATGTTCAAGAAGCTGGTACCACTGGCTGCGTCCAGAGAAAACCGAAGAGCTGAGGAAGAGGGGCAGGGCCCCCTTTGTGAATTTAAAGCCACGTGAATGTACTATCTATTTAGAAGCCATCTTTAGTTTAAGATGAATTTTTAAAAGCTTTGAAAGAACACAAATAGAATAAAATAAGGGCTCGGCAACTCCACTTGTTGCGGGGTGACCCTGGGCAAATCACTTCACCTATTATCTCAAAAGCCCCGTTTCCTGACTCGTGTAATTGAGTTGTAACCACTTGTAACCACGAACAGCGTCGCCTATAAGGGGTTTCTGTATATAGGATACTGTATGGAAGTCGTTTAGCACCAGACCTGACACACTGGTAAGCCTACAAGAAATGCCAGTAACCCTTATTATTTAGCATTAATACTGTTACTGTATGTCAAGCCGCACCCCACATACACACCTGTTTCCATGCCATACCCACAACTATGGCGCGGTCCCTCACATTAGTACAGAGCTTGTACTTCATACACCACCTCTCCACACTTCATCTTTCAAACTCAGGGCAGCCCTGGACCATCATTGTTAACTCATTTCGTAGCTAAGGAAACTGAGGCAGTAACTCCGAGGCTCAATTTTCCCATCTCTAACATCAACTCCAGATCCCTTCACCCCGTCCGTCGCTCCCAGGTCCCCGGCTCCCGGAGCCGTGTTCCACGCGGCACTGACCTGAGCGAGCGCCCCGGGGCCCGGGACCTCGCGCCGGGCTCACACCGACTAGGCGCGCTCGGGCCGCCAGAGCCTCGCAGCGGCCAGGTCCGCTCCACAGCCATGGCGCCTGCACGGAGAAAAAAGACGAACGGCCGGAGGCGGGTCAGCAGAGGCGCGGGGGCCTAAAAACCCCCTCCCCGACCCGGCCCCGCCTGTACACAGAACAGACCTGGACCAGCGGCCGCCGCTCACGGTCCGCAACCTCACAGGGGAGCGGCATCCGGTGTGGCCTGCGTCATCTCCGCGCGTCCCTCCGCCCGCGGCGCCCTGCGGACGCGGGTGCACTTCCGGCCCCCGCCTCCAGGGGGGAGTGTGGGGGCAGAGGAGAGCGTAGAAGGAGGCGGAGCATGCGCGGTACGGCCCTCTGGACCGCTGTGGAAGGATCCTCGTCCAAAGCTTACTTCCAGGCTGCAGAGCCGAGTCTGTCTAGGCACTTACGACCCTCATCCAATCTGCTCTTGCTTCCACTCTGAGGCACTTTTGCTCTTACCCCCATTTTATGGAGGAGAAGGAGGAAAAATTCAGAGACGTGTCCAAATTCAAACAACCTACTGAGTAACTATTATGCCCCCAGCACTATTCAAGGGTTAGGGAATAAAAAGCGCAAAAATCCCTGAACCTCTGGGGCTTACCTCCTAGTAAAAGAGACAGACAAATTAAATAAGACATGGTGCAAATCTTCAGGAATCTTCAGTGCTAAGGAGAAAAATTAAGCAAGGTAAGGGGGTTGGTGAGGGAAAGAAGAACATTAGATGAGTGCATTTGAATCCCAACTCTCACACTCTGGCTGTGCCTGGTTACTTAAGCTTTCTGGCTTTATTTTCCCCATCTGCATAGCAGTTAGAGTACCCTCCTCATGTGATTGCTCTGAGGATTAAGGAGATGAAACATAAATCTTTAAGTGTCAAGAATTAAAACCATGTGTTTTCTATCTGCCAAGTACTCTTCTAGCCAATCTTTATGTTATAGCACTCAATTCCCACCACCACCCTACATGGTAGTTACTATTATAAGCTCCATTGTTAGAGATGGAGAAACCCAGGTCAAAGTATTTCAACACAGGCCCCCTTCAGAGCATAAGTTATCCTCGTCTTTCTATAAGGGCTCATAAACTTCATGCACACGCACACACACACACACACACACACACACATTTACAGGCATCTTATACCAACACTGCCCAATAGGACTTTAAGCAACATTGTTCTCTATCTGCCCTGTTCAATAGGGCAACCAGTAGCCTCTTGTGTCTATCAGCACTTGAAAATTACCTACTGTGACTGAGGAAACAAAATTTTAATTAATTGACATTTAAATAGCCACATGTGGCTTATGGCTACCATATATGACAGCTTGGTCCAATGATATAGACATAACACATAATATGGATAGTAAGACAGTCACATAACCAGTTAATGGTAGAGCACAGCCAAGGCTCCAAACAGCCTGAGTCCATCTAAGGTACTTGAAACATGTAAAATAAAATAATCAACCATGTTGGATGGAGCCAAGTATGATGTCCTCAAAGTCAGTTCTCAAGAGAGCAAATATGATTAAGTGGGCAACAGGAAGCCTCTGCAGGCTTCTAAGATAAAGAGTCACTGTCGACAACATTATAAGATCATTTAGGAAGACATGGGTACACAGGTCAGAGGACATCTATGAAAGGGATGGCAGTACTAAGGTAATCAAGAAAACCAAGCATGCCTATATATTTGCATCAAATGTGATAGGAGTTTGATGATTCAAGCTGGAAATTCCATATGGAGGTGCTCCAGAGACAATATATTGTTTGAACCTCTTAGAGACGAAGAAACCAAATTCTTTAAGTTTAAGTGGAGAGGAGACCTAAGAGCAAAATTTATGGAAAATTTAAGAACATGAAAAGAAAACTGCAAAATAGGAGATGCTTAATTAAATACCTGTAAGACATATTTAATTATTAGATTTAGTATATGTTTTAAAAATCCCTTTCATTTGAATGGTTTTTGAGATTAGATTTTCTCACTTTGTAAAAATTTCCAGGATTGAGCAATGATTGTTGAGAAAACAGAGGCAACTTTAAGTGTAATGAGTGATTCCTAGTCAAATAATTACAAAAACTGCTGTAAATAGCAAGTAGGAAGATCAATGTGTGAAAAGAAGAAAGAGAAAATAGAGCCTGGCCTGAGAACAGAATGCTCGAATGCTCATTACAACAGCTTATGTGACATAAACATGAAAACATGCTGGATGCTGTGCTTTCCTGAAAATAAGCTTGCTCATAGAAATAATGTTTGGGATAATTCCTACATATATAAGCTGTAGGAGAGTAGCTAATGCTAAACATCAAATGCTCAGTCTCTTCAATTCAAGCTGTAATAGACTACATGCTGTTTTCCATTTTGAGACAGTTATCTGGGAGAGGTAGTTGGATTACATATAATGGATCGAGTAAAGTTCTTCCATAGCCTACACTGGGAATTCAAAATCCTGCCCAATGAAACATACATCAAGCCTCACCATTTGTTTCTTTGGGGAGAAAAATTGCACCCTTTTGTATGACACATATTCCTTGATGTTTAGTACATATCTTGCATGTTCATCTACTGGGGGGCACAAACTACTTCAACTGTTTAATTTCTTGAGATGCAGTCCAAACACACTGACATTTCTCCTTATGTGATGATGCCATGGAGAGGTGATGTGGGTGAACTGTTCTTTCAACTCAACAGCCATGTGTACTTTACCAGGAACTGGCATAAAAACAGGGGTTCAGTTTCAAGAGATACAGAAGATTGGAAGCATTTGAAGAGGTTTGCTTTTCTTTTTTTTACTCTTTGTTCTGGATTCAGTCTAGCTGTAATATGATCAGTGCTTGCTCTCCTATACACCCATCAGGTATTCTGGGACAAAAGCTCAGGCCAACTGGCCAGAAACCTTATCCTTAAAGTCTGCGGCACAAAGTACTTTACTTCAATTGCTGTTAGACTGGCGTGATCCTGAGATACATTTGGGCATAATTTGGCATCTGGACTCAGTAATTTCCAAGGCCCTGAAAATTGCTCACAGGCAACATGCAGGTAAGTTTCCTATAATCTTTGGAGCATTTGCTATCTATTATAATAGATTTTTGACAAGGCTGGAGTTTCTTTGTTGTACAAATAACCAGCACTGAGAAAACGGAAATGAGTTCAGATTATAATTTCAAGAGTTTGTTTGGCTGTTGTTTTTTTCCTACACAACAGACATGGAAAAGTAAAAGACGGGAGCCAGGATTCTTTAGTGGTTAAGAGTGAGCGTTGGAAATTGACATACTTGAGTTCAAATCATGCCCATACCCTGCCTTCTAATGCACTGAATGACAATGGGCATTTTACTAAACAGATTGGATGCTCAGCTTAATTTTAAAGAAAACCTGCCTGAAAGAGATATTACCATGGCTAACTGATTAAGGCATGTAAAGTGCTGAGCACAGTACCTGGCCCATGACAAGTACTCAGTAAGAGGTAACTATTATTATGGAAGGCTTTGTTGATGAAAGCCCAATTAACAGAGACTTAATTCTTTTAATGCTCCAAGGCTGTTATATTACAATACCACATATGCTCTTTTAGATGGAAAGTTCCCATCTCCTTTGATCAAAGTTCCCAGTACTTTGATGAAGTGGTGGAAGTCTGACACAAGTCTGTCCTAGATCTCTGAAGGGGTACTAAGCAGATAGCAGGCAGTAGTCTGCCCACGTTGACAAACATGTCAGATGAATTAAGGGATGTTGTGGAAATAGACAATATCAGAATTCAGTGTTAGATTAAGTTGAAAAGTCATACTGGAAGAAAGTAAATATTTGATAGTAGCTACTGTGCAGTGGCCAACAAAAGCAACTACATCATTGAAAAATAGCCTTTGACCTTTGTAATTAGAGAAGAAACTGATCCAAGTGCTTCAATTCCAGGAAGAATATCATGTATTTTCCTATAGGCTTTTAGAACAATGATGCCACTTGTTACTTTATACGCATATGTCTAAGTCAGATTCCTGTTCGCTTCCTCCGTGTTTAACACAGAGCCTAATATATAGTATCCAAGCTTTCATCCAAACAGGTAAGAAAACAACCAGCTAACATTTTATTCAGTTTCCGCTTTGTGCCAAACACTGAACTCAGCAGCACTGAAGAAGACAGAGGCATGATACTTGCTCTCCAGAGGGCCACCGTCTAGTTGGAGAGACATTAACAAAAAGAAATAGTAAACACTCAAAATAGTGTACCCACCCGCTAAGCACTAAGAGTGCAAGAGGTACATATAGTGTTCAATGGGGCAAAAACAGAAGTGGAGATGAAGGTTGAATGAACATGTGTTCTTTTCTCACACAGGTGACATTCTGCAGACTTCGGACTCACCAGTGGTGTTTTGTTCTGTTTAATGTTATCCTATTTCATGCCTTGCTTTTTGGGGCTGATTTTGTAGAAGAATACTTTCTGCATGCTTTGCCTTATGTAGACATGAAAGTTCTTGAAATTAAGGATAAAGCAAGAAAATTGAACATGGAGCCCCTAAGAAGTAATCTTTCTAAATATTATATCTTGAGCCAATCGGAGGTGTGTAAAGGGAAGAACATATTTTTGCTCTCTCTTATCTTCAGTAGCCCAGGAAATCAGACAAGACGGGACCTCATCAGGAAGACCTGGGGTAATGTGACCAGCGTCCAAGGGCACCCCATTCTCACACTGTTTGCTTTGGGAATGCCTAATTTGGTAACTACCCAACAAGAGATAGACAAAGAGTCCCGTAAGAATAATGATATAATCGAAGGAATCTTTCTGGACAGTGCTGAGAACCAAACCCTGAAGATCATCACAATGACACAATGGGCTGTGACTTTCTGCCCTAATGCCCTGTTCATTCTCAAGGTTGATGATGAGATGTTTGTCAATCTGCCAAACTTGGTAGATTATCTTCTCAATCTGAAAGAACACCTTGAAGATATCTATGTAGGGAGAGTTATCCATCAGGATATGCCCAACAGAGACCCTACTGCCCAGGAATTTGTCCCTCTTAGTAAGTACCCAGAAAAGTACTACCCAGATTACTGCAGCGGTGAGGCCTTCATTATGTCCCAAGATGTGGCTCGGATGATGTATGTGGTTTTCAAAGAAGTACCCGTTATGGTGCCTGCTGATGTGTTTGTAGGAATTTGTGCCAAGTCTGTTGGCCTTATACCCATCCACAGTTCAAGGTTTTCTGGGAAAAGACACA